GGGCTTAGTGCTGTGCACAGTGCAAAATCGGATAGTGTGCGGCTAGCATAAGTGTCAGTGTGCAGCACTGCAGCGGCAGCCATGGCACTTGGCGGCAGCCAGTGTTTGTTGTAGATGAGCATTTGGACGGCATTTACAGGAAATTTGTCGGCAATAATAGGTGAAAGAGAGTATAGAAACATTAAGACTTTGGTAGTAAATAGATTTCGTATTTATTTAGCATTATATTTTATTGAAATGCTTCAAGTGCCTGTGAGTGACAGTGTCTGTCTGGCTTTTACTATTGACAGTATAACTGTTATACCCCAGGCCATAGACGTGGATGGCGTAACCATATCTATCACATGCATCGACCATAAGTATATTTCAGCCTGGGGTAGTGTATGGCAACCTGTGCACAGCCTACCTAAACTATGCCACATTGACGTTCCAGTGCTTCCACTGGTTCATGGATATAAGTGCTGATCACAATTCTTTTTCGCAATGTGTGACATGTGCAAATGTGGACAGCTCTTATATCCTTGGTCCTGTAGAGTAAACAGAGTTGAGTGACAAACGTTCTAAACTTGGTATATTTGCGCAATATTGCCAATAACTTTATACCTATGCGCAAAGTAAAGAGAGATATCAGCCATCGTTTCTTGGGGCCAATAGCGTATATCTTGCACATTCCCTAAAATCACATCCGATGACACGATGGGGGAAACCTATTCAATTTGTGCATGGGTATAAAGCTAATGGGTAAAATGCCAAGTTAATCCATTTTTACCCAACTATTTTACTCTGATATTAAAGCCCTGTCACTTCTGCAAGAAATTAACTAGGTTGGAGGTCAGCAAGTGGTATAATTTATTTGGTAGGTTGTGTAGGATCTAACACTACACCTAGCTTGCTAGGTTACCTTCATTCACTATAGTGTATTCGTCATATACAATCACAACCTGTTGTGATAAGCATTTAAATCAATTTGAAAACGGCAGTTGAAAACCAAAATGGCAATTATTATTATTATTAAATCTTTATTGCATGTAATTCAAATACAAATACATGTACTGGAGACAGGCTGTTTCATGAAGAAAAAATCTGATAAATGCAATCGTGTTGAGCAGTTAAAATAATAACATTTTTGAGTGATACAGTACAGAACAGCACTATACAACATGAGGGTATACAAAATATATACAAAAAACGTCAGTACATTCTGTACAAGGTCAGTGATTAAGGTACACTTTGTGCGTGTGCGTGTGCGTGTGAGTGTGTGTCCTTGTGTGTGTGCGAGTGCTTGTGCGTGTGCGCGCGCGTGTGAGTGTGTCACTGTGTGTGCGTGTGCGTGTGCGTGTGCATGTGCGTGTGTGTGCATGCGCATGTGTAATCTTGTTTTTTGTTTTTGTTTTGTTTCACGATACCTCAGGGGGTAATTTTATTCAACTAATGCAAAGCAAACAAATACAAATACAAATAAGAATAGCTTAAAATATTTATCTTTATATGTATCATATGTATCTTACATAATGTCATAATTATAGCTACAGAAAGGCTATCTATATACTCGTAAGGCATATTAGAAGAAATATAATGAAAAAAACTTATTAAAACTTCCAAATCAAATGACGGATAATTCGTATCGTTATGCAGTAATCCTATGGGCACCAGTGACGCGATCGTGTTGTTTTCACCGGCGTTCTGCTGGTGGTCACGTGACTACTGATCTGTGACGTAGCTCTGCCCGCACCTATTCACTCAATCACTGACACTCGCAGCTAGGGCCTGCATACGTCCCAAATCCCATTGGTTGATACAAATCACGTGCCTGAAACTCCTGTTTTAGTAAAACTTTTATGGTGCATTGTGACCCTAACCCTAACCCTAATCCTAATCCTAACCCTAACCCTAACCCTAACCCTAACCCTAACCCTAACCCTAATCCTAATCCTAACCCTAACCCTAACCCTAACTTTAACTCTGACCCTAACCCTAACCCTAATTAAAATTTAATTAAAAAATTAACTAGATTTGTATCAACCAATGGCCATTTGGGAGGTATGCAGGCCCTTGCTGCGAGTATCACTGACACCTGACGGCTGTCAGTGACAGCACAGGCACTTGAAGCATTTCAATAAAATATAATGCTAAATAAATACGAAATCTATTTGCTACCAAAGTCTTAATGTTTCTATACTCTCTTTCACCTAGTATTATTGCCAACAATTTCCTGTAAATGCCATCCAAATGCTCATCTACAACAAACACTGGCTGCCGTGCAGCGCCATTGCTGCCGCTGCAGTGCTGCACACTGACACTTATATATATATAGCAGGTAGGAAAGCGGGATCCCTAAATTCGCTCAGCGCGCGCTTGATTTCACACGATTACAACACAAATATTCAACCATTCTACTCCATCTTTGTTTCTATTTCAAGAACAGTGTTTACTTGTTATATAAACATACTATCTCTGTTCATAACCGAGCTGTGTCACGCGAAATCACACAAAGATTGACGAAATTCTCGCGTTCGCTAACGTTGCCCAGTAAATGTAAACGAGTGTCAGAATCAGGATACACCGACCGGCGCTCTTCGTGACCTCATTCTTGCGCTGCAACGCTGCAACGTTTTTGCAACGCTCCAATGGCGAGGCTCGTACGGGAGTTGGAAAGCAGTGCGCCGCCTATAGCCCTTAGACTGGTACTCGCTCCCAGTCCCACCTCTCGGCTTAGCTTAGTTACTCGATGGGTAATCAAGGTGGGAACGAGTACCAGTCTATGGGCTATAGGCGGCACGCTGCTTTCCAACTCCCGTACGAGCCTCGCCATTGGAGCGTTGCAAAAACGTTACAGCGTTGCGGCGCAAGAAGGAGGTCACGAAGAGCGCCGGTGGGTGCATGTTTCCTGATTCTGACAGCCATTTACATAAA